CAACGAAGAGAAAAGCGAACGACAGATTTTCTCTTCCTTCGAGAACTTGCTGTTATTCGGCGTCGGCCGAAAACGAACAGACCACGTAAGACACCATTTTAAAAAAATTTAATTTTCTCACGCTGTCACAAAGGTATCTGCGCACGAACACATGCGAGAGAATGCCTAACTGATTATGCGATCAGCAAATGGCACTTCTTCCAACGTTCCCTTCATCATAGCCGACGCTCCCTGCTTTCGTCAGTGACCACGTTTCGCATTGGCACATCGCCATTTACAAAGTAAAACGAAGAAAGCAGGCACGGTTCTTCTACGCTAACACTTTGAAAGTATCGGCAATGTTGCACAATTTGTCCTACGTGTAGTCACCGGCTTAAGACTGTGACGCATATCCAGTCCCCCACCGACAGAGACAGACAAATGTAATCTGGCTACACGCAAATTGGAACTTCGTATCACCCTTTTTTTCGATGCACTATTTTTACGACCTACTTCGTTAATCCCTGTGTTAAGATCACGCAACATCTCATTCCTATTGCGAGAGTAGAAGCAACGAGAATTATCGTGTTCGCGAAGCGTATTTTGCTCAGCTGCTTGCCACTGATTTCCAGGTTACTTTCTCAATTCAGGTTATGAAATACCATTTCGAGACAGGCCGTGAAAAGCTTGGAAAATGCTCGGCGTTACGCTTCTTTGATTGTCACAGGAACTGGGGTAAGAAAAAGCGCTTTGCCTTCCGAACAGCTTATATTCGCTTTCTTAACGATTTTCACATAATCATCATTAATCCTTTCATCTACTGAAATGTTTTTAGCACAACATTTCGCTCTCTGCTGTCAAACGCTTTTTCGTCATTGATGAACACGCGGAAAAGTGGCCGCTGCACTGTATGTTTCATCAGCTCGTTTGGGACGAAAATATGTTCTGTTGCGCTGTAATTTAGAATCTTGCATGTCTTCTCGGCTTCTGCCCATCGTGAAGACCCGTTACCTAATTATTAATAATCCTCGTGAACAACTTACAATCAAAAAAGAGTGAATTAATTGGACAGTAACACCAACAGAAAAATAATAAAACTAAAAATAAAACTTACAATTTAAATACAAATTAATACAATTAAATACAAATTAATACAATTTAAATAAAACTTAATAAAACTAAAATAAACTTAAAAAATAAAACATACAATGCAAACTGTAGAGAAACAAGCATAACGAATGTGAAACAAATGAAGTAACAGCTGACTGCTGTGTTTGTCACATACGTACAACTATGAATGTATTTCAACGATCGCGTATTTGCCAATGAGTAAAAGTAAAAGCAAAAAACTATAAAAGTCTTGCAACAAACCTGCACAAAAATTATGGAATTGACTGCTGAC